ATAGTTGTTTAAATTCATGTTTGCCTTCTACATCTCTTGGTAAATTGCAATTATAAATCAGTGTGAAGGCGTCACCAGAACTGTGTATTATCAACACACATGTCCTGGTGCACATGCAAATAACAAAAGGGGGACCTACTGGATGGATGGATGGATGGATGGATGGATGGTTTTTGCTGTTCTTCAAGTTCTCACTATAAACTGCTTCTGTTAGGGTTTAACTTCATTACAAGGCAACATTGCCAGTTTTTTAGACATGTCTTCCTAAGCACTTTGAATTGCCTTGTGTTGAAAAGTGCTCTATAAATAAACTTGCCTTGCCTTGCCTAGTCTATTTTGGATAACTTTTATTGAGATTCAGCTGCTCATTTCCTTTCAGCAGTCTGACATTAGATGACATGCTGAAGGACACCTGCTCTGTGTCTGCTTTATTTTTCGAAAATAAAAATTGTTATTCTTAGCAACTACACAGCAGTAAAATACTATTGCTGGTAAATATGAATTTAAAATCAGACACTCAGCATTTTGCAGCAGGACCCCTGCTGTAGGCATACGTAAACAGGCAGGAGACAGAGGCAGCTATATAAATATACAGTATGTCCACTGCCACGGTTTCAGACTTCGAGAAAAATAACAATGTTTGATTTTGTTCCAATGCTGTTTCTTTAACTTTCTTAGGAAGCCCATTTGTTTGTCAGATGTAGTTTGTTATGAACACAAAGGTGTGTGTGTCACTGAGATCAGGTGGATGAGACAGAGCAGAGATTGGTTTCAGAGCTGTAGCCTTGACTGCAGAAAACATACATTTCGATAGATATGAGACAAAGCCCTGCTGTTGCCTTTGATATTTATGGCCTATTTCTCTGCTCGTTTGATTTTGATAAGGTTAGAGACAGTGTAGCAGATGGAGCAGCAGCCCCAGTAAATATGCCTTTTCCAGCCAGGGAAACAATTATGGGCAGCAGATGACTGACCTCATATGCAGCCTGAGAATAAATATGTTGGAGATCATCGGAGGGGGTGTGAATAATAGACTGCTGATTGAAACCACTGGCCGCTGCTGTGAGCTGCTGTTTCCTGTCAATCATGAGGATCAGAGATTGTGGTCCACCTGGAGGAGCTTTTTATTACACTTTGTTAGGTGGAGTCCTTTGCTCCAGGTTTAAGTAGGAGGAGATGTGTGATATAATGAGGCTGTGCTGAAATCTAGATAGCATAATGACATCGACAGGATTAGAGGGAAAACCTTGGGGCTTTTTATTACAAAATGAAAGTAGGATATTGTATTTTCCACCTGACATCAAATGTGTCCCACTAAAGCAGGGTGAGGCCCAGGTATGTTGCTTTCTTTGGGAGAGACTGGGCTACACATACTGTGAATGCGATTTTACCAACCAACCGCCCCATCCTCCTCCACAAATCAAGCGTTCCCTTGTTGTAGTTTGCAGTGACAGATGTACAACTCAATACATAAAATCTGAAAAAATTGGTACCTGATTCAGTCAGAGAGAGGCTTCTCTTTTCTAAACTAAACAACAATGCATTATTTGATCAGCTGAAGCTAAAGCTAAATAACTTCTCACTTCGTTTTCTTGATGACCCTTTAACTGATCGACTTTAGTTGTCTGGTGTACCGTTGAGGAGGCAGGGAGCTCTTCAAAAATCAAGATATATCTTCAAGATATTATTATCATTATTATTGAGATCTGTTGTTTCTTCAACACATTGTGGTGTGTGGAGAGGGGACCTCCAGTTACTGTTTACCGACAGTGGCATGCTGGGTACAGCTTGCTCTCGCAGCTACAATAATAAGGCCAAGTACAATTTACTATTAGTGCTTTTACACCGCATAGCATTTTTATTTTGTAATCCCAATAAATGCCTGGATGCATGCTCTATGTCTGACTACAGTATATGCAGCATGACCTTCTAGCAATTTATCTGCCCCACAATGCATTGCACTTGGGTTCTATTGAGCCTGGATGTCAGTCTTGTGAGTTTTTAACCAAGATCAACAATGTCTTTATTTCACTTAATGAAACTTAGACATCACAGTCTCAAACATATCCCTACAGCTGAGCATTATGGTGCATTCTTGCACCCTTATTACGTGTACTCTCGATCACAGTGGATGTCTTGCCAGGTTTACTGGTCTTGACCCAATAAAAGCACATTGCTGAGTTGTTTGTATTCTCTATTCTATGGAAAGCAACCTGCCTGTTTTGCTCAGGCACACATTGAAACAGCACTGCATTCCTGTTTAAAATGAGAAACCCTTCAAAGATGTTATGCACTTAATGGCTACAATACATTACATAATTTCATGCTAAAAGCAGTATTGCCAACACGCAGTGGCGGCGCCAGGGTATGGCTGGGGTAGGCTACAGCAGTGCTTCTCAACTGGTCAGGCCTCGGGACCCACTTTTTCCTGAGTCAATAGATCGCGACCCGAAATTTTGAACTACTCAAATCTATTCAACGAAAAATCCTGCAATAATATATACGCTTTGCAGCATAAAATATTAATTAAAGTGAAGTACAGTGCATATATCCCTTGTATCCCTTCACAGAACAAAAGAATGCTTTTAAATAAGGTTTAATGAGATGATGGAATCAAAGCTGAACTGCATAACATAAAAAGGCACACGTGCTGAAAACCTAACCCCAGAACGGCGGTCTGGGGGGATTCCCCCCCAGGAGATTTTTTGAAATACTAACATATAAACTACCCATTCTGGTACACTCTGAGAAGAAAATAAATAGATGTATTACGACATATTAATAATATTTTATGCCATTGTTTGTTTTTCACTTTGTTCTGACAGCTGAACTTGCTGCTCCACACAGAGAGAAGAGTAAAGAGGAGATAGTCTGTGTGAAATAGTTTAAATTCTGGGTAAGGGTAGATAGCCCCCATTGTTCTGTGACCTGTCAATCATCAAACCGGGGGTCATATNCCTTCAGCAGATTCATTACAGATTCATATGTACCTTTTGGTTGGATGGGAAAACCGTTAAGTCTTGCCAAGTGATTCTCACACAGTGATCTTGGTGGTCATACCTAATTGTCCATCACCATAGCCACGCACCGGTAGAGGAGAAATATCACACATAGGATGAGTTCACACTGTTGGGTAATTGTGATTATGACAAATACTATTAACTAGTACTCTTGTTAATGGCTCTACCTGGGTTAAACACGTTAAAAGCCAGGACGGTACTTCACTTGTCTCAGACTATATATCTCTGCAGTGGGTAGAGATACACAATAGTTCCTTAAAAAAGTAGACAGTGGCATGAGAATAAGTCCTAAAAGGGTCCCTTTAGTAAAAGTACATCCAAGTAAATTGGTACACAAATTTAGCATCATCACCCATAAACGTAAAAGGCCAGTTTCAAAAGATAAGTTGGTCCACAAGTAAAGAGCAGAATACTTCAGGCAATCTAAGGAGCATTACCCTATTTTCACCGTTAATTTTAAATGGACAAACATTTCAACCTTGCAACCACCTTTTATCCAGGGTCCCAACTCTGGTGGATAGGAATAAACAAATAAAACATCCTCTACCTAACCTGAGGCTAAAGTTGATCGACTCTATTATAGAGGTACTAAACATTACATTTCAGGAAGTCATATATCTGTGGCTTAGCAGGTGAATCGCACTTTAACAGCAGAAAATAATGTTTATGGTCGGGGAAGTGTTAAAGTCTGGAAGAGAGAGGTTACATTGCTTCTATTAAAAATGCGGAACCAGTCAGACTTCGCTGGTGTTTTTTTTGTGGACTGTATTTAAATCCTGCAGTCATATTGTTGTGAAAGCATCATTCAGCTTTTACTTGTGGCTTTTGACATTTTGAGCAAAGCTACTGTTTTCCATATCCCAGGGTGTGTGTGAGGGAGATGACCTATGAGCATGATCGAGAACACATTCCAGAGAGGAGTTGCACTGAGGAGGGACCAGGACAAGTTACGCATTATCGCTACCCAGGAGGAGAGTGACCCCGAAAATAATCCCTCCATTGCTTTTACTTTTCAATACACTGAATTGCATCTTGTTGTTTGGAACATGACATTGGGAGTGCGGTTAAAATAGTCTTCTCTCTCTCTCTCTTTTTCAGTCTACCAAGACCTGGGTTCAGCCGCTTGGAGGCCGGTCATCATTGGAGCTGTGGAAGAGCAGGGCAATGTGTTGGTCATCTGCCATCAAGCTGTGATGCGCTGCCTGCTGGCTTACTTCCTGGACGAGAGTGCAGGTCAGAATCACCCCTGTAATGGTGAAAACAAATTTGATTCCTCTATATTCCTGACAAATCTAAGTGTCATTGTTTGGGCCAAATATCAGTTTGGGGTACGAGTGATATAGATTTGAACAGTTTTGATTATATTCATATTTCTTATCACATGACGCTGTATTCAATTACCTTTATTATGTATTTATCCCACACCAGTGTTCTCTATCTGATTAAGAGAAATTCCAAATGGTTGACCTATGTTTTACTCCAGGCCAAAGTGGCAAGATTGCTCTGTGTGTGGATAAATGTTGGCGGCTCCCTCAATTGGGCCCGCTTCTCTATGTTTAAGCTCCTTGAGAAACCCCCCATAGGATCGATGGTTGATGGAATTTGTTAAAAAATGTTTGACTTTTTATAATTGTACTATTTAAAAAATAAAACAATACTGGTCCATGTTGATATTATTTAAGTATTTATATACTAAAACTATTAATTACCTACGAAGGTTAAAACTACTGTATGCTATGTTAATCGGTAAAACATAAAAATATCAATAAATTACATTACAAAAAAGATGATAACATTTTATGGCATTCCGCTTTCCGCAGAACGATCTACCATAATATGAAATGTAGTCCACTCCACACGATTACTCAAAGCTAACCCCTGTTGCATACGGTACGTCTTTAACCTCTAAATAAACACCATTTTCTTTTTTTAAACGTTTTTTATTTATTTTAAATGTATTCATGTCTTTTGTTCCAATAGGGTGGCAAGGTGGAACTGTTTTATCTCAAGTGTGGAGGCAGTGAACACGCATTCGAGACCGGACCTCTGTAAGTCCTTCTGGATTGAGCGCTGACGAATCACATATATATTATTATTTAATTAAGCTTCAAAATATAATAATCCATTCAAATAATTTTATTGGTTAATATTACCCAGTATAATCAAAAGTTTATCAGCATATTTCAACATCTGAAACTAAGTCTAAAAGGCCCTTGTGTTTGGTTGTGTCTGGCTAGTTTGGTGCACTTCTTACCCTGTGCGTGAGCTTTGCTGCTTTGACTCCCTTTTATATATTCCTTATGTTCCTGTTATCTTTTGAACCTTATTAATAAGTCTGGCTTAAGCAATATTGAGTGAATATTTGAATAAGTTGTTTATTTGTGGTTGTTTGTTTGACCTTGATGGAGGCAATGGCTTGTGCCAACTTGCTTGGCTCTGCCCTGGCTTTGCTTTTTTGATATTAAGAATGTTCTAAGGAGAGAGACAATCTGTTTTGAGCTATTATCTATTGCTTTCAATCTTTTATTATACTCTCTGTTTGTCCTGTGGAAATTCAGGGGCTGATTTCCTTGCATATTTCTTGTTGTGCTGATGAATGCCTTTGCTTAAACAGCATCTGTCCACCTAAAACACTTAAACAGTTGTCTAAACCTGTTGGTGTTGATCCATGTGGAGAGAAGACGGCTAATTTGCTTGGGCTTTGTCCGGTAAGCCCCCCCCTCCACCCCCCTCCTGCCAGGAGTTCACCATGTTTTCCTTAATCTTTTTTCCCTGCCATATTTCCTCCCTACCAGGATAAATCTGCGATGGACTCTGCTCTCACACTCCGGCGGAATAGTTACACTCCCTTGTCCAGTCACGACCAGTTCAAGCGTCCTAGGCTCTACAGCGCGGGCAACCAGCCCTGGCTCCCGCTCGCCCCCACCCCCGCAGCACTGATGCCAGAGGGACGGCAAAGCCAAGTTAGCGCCAGAGTTACAGCCCCCCCCCCAGCCCCCTTCTAAACCAGTCAACTGTATTCGGTCACCTCCCTTCACAGTTTGCCATCCCCTCGCCTCAGTATTGGATCCTCTCGATGATTTAGTGTCTGTGTTGAAAATACATACATACATGGAATCCATCTCTCTTTCTATGTTTCTCTCTCAGGGCATGTTTTGGGACCTTGAATGGGTTGCTGCCTTCTTTTTATGTTGTCTGTTTACCAAAATGCATGACCTTTGCTTCACTACTGGGCTGCTTGAATATGCAGAACAGCATGCCAATTTGTTTTGAGCTAGCCAATATGGAATTCAAAAGACACACAAACATCAAAGATATCTTATACTGTATTTTTTACAAGTGTACAATAATGTACACAGCTTTGGTTATGCATAAATTCCCTTAAATACATTAGAAAATGTATCCAATTTGAGAGCAATTAGGCAAAAAAACAATACACAAATGAAAGATTTTAATCATTCAAATTTGAAGAAGCATAGAATTATATTTGTACGTGTTGTGTATTTGTTGGCCTTGCCTTGTGTGTTCAGTCCATCTCTACATCTATCTGTTTCCATCTCTACATCTATCTGTTTCTATCTCCACCTCCTCTTAACCTGTCTTACAGCCTCGAATAGGATGCGGTTGTCTGTGAGTATTTCGTAGTTTATCTAGCCAGCCCTTTATTTAGCCCTTTTCTTTCCCACAACCCATGTCATACGTTGTCACAGTGGTGTATTTAAATAGTTTTCAATCTTTGGGTTTCTCTAACCTTCCATCACCTTTAATACTTCAGTAAAACTCTTTGATGATAGTAATTATTAGCCACCTAGATATAGTTCAAAAATGAAACAAAATTGAGAACATCTTAACATATTAAGTTATTTATTTCCTTCGTATTGTATTTAATTAAGTGTACTAGATTCATAGAGCGAGAATGTGATTAGTTATTAATCTCTTTTTGATCATTTGCCTGAAAGAGCCTCCTCTAATGTGATTGTTTTACCACACTTCACTTAATGACCTAATTTCTCATATAAGAACTTAAGACTCCTGGGGCCCCTGGGAAAATGTTTTCCTCTAAAATAGCATTTGCTGCTGTAAGTCATTAATTTGTAAATGTCCGTGACATTTCCTTTCTCTCTAAGGAGTCCCTGTGCGAAGGAAGCAACGCTGACAGCGACCCTGACAGCCCCGAAGAAACGAGTGGCTGTGTCCGCTTCTGAGTGAAGATGAAGGTCTCTTCCTTCAATGTGTCAAAGTTCTGGGTTCAATCATGTTAGAAAGATGATAATATTTGTTTTAATTCCATATTCTTTTAAATGTTGGTCTGATTATGAGGTCATTTGTTGGTCCTAAATCTCTCTGTTTAACTTCACTCTGCATGCTGAGGCTTCAAACTGGAAGACTTTTCATGGGTATCAAACACTACTGCATGTGCACAACAATCAAGCAACCAAGAATAAACAGGTTTACTTATCCTCTATGTAAATATTATAATACCTCCCTCAACTTTAACTTGTGCGTTGAAAACCATTTTTAGGTCATTGCAAATAGAACTTGTTATACAGAAGATGTTGTAGGAATTATTTTATAAGATACCAATATTCTCATTTAGCAAACGTACTGTAATTGTAAGTCTTATATTCATATTTATAACATCACATGTTATGTTATTGTTATTTGGTTTTTATTTGTGCTTTTGTCGTTTTGAAGGAAATTAAAATACTGTATTGAGTTGGTTTCTTCTGTTTTGGAAGCCTATCTTGTTGGTCTTTTTAGAAATACCTCATTGGGAAAACTGTGTTCTAGCAGCAGTTAAAGAAGTTTAGTTTTCTGTCATAGGCTACTTGTAATGAGATGGTTTGCTCTATCACAATTTAAACCCTAAATGTTCATCTGTTTATTGTTTTTCTTGACTTTATATCCAAGCATGTTGATGGCTTATTAGCTATATCTTGACATCATTTGTATCCTACTTGCCATACATTTCTTCTAATTGCTTGGTATTGGTAATGTAACTTTACTCTTTACTTCATTCTCTTGACCTATTTAAAACACAAAATCCTCTCATCATACTTAATCCTAGACAGTAGCACAAGTTATATTCTACGACTTTGTAATGTTTGAATGTTGATATGTATTCGCTCATAGCAGCCTACTGTGCCTTTCACGCAGAAAATAAAAGTGAATTCTCATATGATTTTTGTTTACCAGTGTGTGTAGTAAAGACCTTTGTGTAATCTTCAAAATGGAGTGATACAAATCTATTACAAACATCTATATAATTACATGTCACTTGTTAAACGCTTTTATCCAAAGCGACTTACATACTCAATACAGTGAACAATCCCCACAGGAGCAATTTGGGGTGAAGTTTCTTGCCCAGGGACACAACGACATGCTGACTGCAGTGGGGTTTGTGACCTGTGACCCCCTGATCCCAACACCAAGGCTCGATCCACTGCACCACACACCTCCCCCTCCTCCGTCTATAATATTTGTGGCGTTTAGTTAATTGTTCTTTGGTTGATGCAAAAAGGTCTCACAATTATTAAAAACTAAGTAGAACCCAGTGCCCTTTAAAAATGCAGGGTGTGTAGACCAAAAAATGATAAATACTATGACATAAACAGGAGTACCTAAATTACAAACATTTAGTCATAGGTTTCAGGGAAAAGGGTTCCATTCTTTTTTCAAAATCTTATGACTTGTTTTGTTATTATAAACTGAAGTGTAAAGAATTCAGTTCTACAAGAAGATGAAAACGTAATACTTTAGAAAATGCCTGAAGAAAGAAAAACATCTAAATAGAATAATACAATTGATAAGATATTCAAGAGCGCCATCATCTGGAGTATCAATGTAGCAAATAATAGTTTAAAGTTAAAAGAGCCGACATAAAGATTAGCTTTAAAAAATATATATATTAGACTCCAGATTTGTCCAAACCTACAGTCTATGGTCCAAACCTTTCAGTCTATGTTCCAAACATGATCAAAGAGATGCTAATGTGTTATCTTGAAAAAATAAAATAAATATGCTATAATTGTTTGTAAAATTAGCGATAACAAAAATTAGCAGGGTATTTTCTTATGTGGCCCATGGGCCATGAGTCTTGTGTAAGTACAGTAATTTAAGGTCAACGTCATTGTTATATACATTTAAAAGGGAATGGATGTATAGAGAAAATGTACGGTACACGCCGTGTTGAGCGTCATGACGTAGAACAGACGCAGAGTGACGTTATACACACACCAGTTTCTCACTAGATGTTTATTGTTTGAGGCAGGATTGCAGTCAATAGCAGGTAAGACGAACTAATTAACTTAGCTCGTTGTCATTTATCTTATGAAATACCCTGTCGTTATAATATATTTCAATTGACAGGTAACATGATGTACATTAGTCTACATAGATTCGAAATGCTTGAAAAAACGGTCCACTTAACGCCAAGTTAATGTGTAGGTTAGCATGCTAACGTTAGCAGATTATACATGATATAGCTAACGTTAACGTTGGTCTATGAGTCTGGGCAAGTGTGTTTCTTTCAAACATGTTCATAATAAATGTCACTAACGCCCTTCTTGTCCAATGTTTATGAAGTAACTGGCTCTACATAATCATGCTATATTGTCTCGCTTGGCAGGTAGCTCCTAGCTTAGCCCGCTATCTGTTGGTCTTGCTGATGAGTTAACTGACAGAACAAAGAAAAAAAACAAAGCATGTCGCTGTCACTTGATGCCCTTTAATGCTGATCATCAGTATTGCAGTTGTGATGCTGGGTCCATTCAGAAAGCAGTACTATCACACAACGGACAGCAAAACAATGGCTAACCGACACCCTGGTTCCTGTTGTGAGGCAAAAGTGAACGTTTGACTAACAAATACAGTGAGCTAAAGCAACAAGCTTAACGCTACACTATGAAGCAGCTGAGTCCCGAGCTAACTTAGCTAACGTTTGGGTGCATAATATTATTTGTAGCTAAATGATCATGATGGCTGGTTTAAAATCGGCACAAAGTGAATATAGTGTGTGTAAATTAAGTTCCTATTCTGTGGCACAACAGAAAACGATTAAGGTTTGAAAAATTCCTTTTGAGTGTATTGCTTCAAAAATAGTTAAATAGAACACAATCAACTGTGATTCCATCAAGTAAATAGGAGGCAAACTATCAGCATCGTTTGAAATGACTGTCGACTCTTAAATATTTACCCCGCCTGCGGAGTGGCCTTTATTTAATCTTCCCAAAAAATAAATGTACATGTGTCTCCTCTCCACCCATGGCTTTATTTGTTTATGGAATGGAAACAGGCCTTTGCAGAATAAATAGAAATGTTATAAATAGCTGTTGCCACGTATAAATCACGACCAAAGAATAATAATTCAAAGTTTGATTTAATACATATCGATGCAAAAGTTGCAGGGGTGCATGGAGTGAATAAGTAAGGCACCAAAAGTCATAAAGTAACACCATATTTCTACTCAAGAAGTCTCACTCATCAGGAGTGGCAAATATATCAACCTGATATATAATACATTCATCTGACTTAAGTAAACCTCAGAATGTCACTGTCAATATCAGAACAACTTGATGTGTCATTTTCAAAATGAAAAGTGAATAAGTTACCACTAATTTCAGCAGATCCTCTGCATTTTAAAGCTCAAAAATATAACCTCAGGGAAACATTTGTTGTTTGAACACCAACAGCGTTGATGTATGTCTGTTCCTCCCATCGGAGTCCTGCGGTCAGCTGTTCAGTTCCTTTGTTGTGCAACCATATGTGGCAGAAAGACAGTAAATTATGCTTGAATTGATGAGGAACTAGTACTGTTACTTAACTACTATTAGGCATGAGAATGACCGCAGCAGAAACAAGATTATGCCTGTTGACTTAATAAGTTGATATGATGTTTTTTATTAAGCTGGATGTCCATAAAAGTGTCCTTGTTGGCTATTTAAATCACTTGATAAGTGGCCTGATTAGTGGATGAGTATAATTTTGTTACTGATACTCTAGAGGTTTCTCAATACTCTAATTTCCCCTCCTCGACTCCTCGGTCCTCCGGTTGTGACCTGGAAATGGATTTCAGCGCGCCATGTTGAAGGACATCTCATTTCTCTAAATGCACATCGAGGACCGAGCATCGAGGAGGCTCTCTGGAGGAGCTCTAACCGAGGAAACACTGATGGTTCCTCCACGGATGCATTTCCGGGAACGGTGGAAGCGTTACGCACGGCCGGACTTATCTCAGCCAATGACAGCCCTGCATGCATCCCCTGGATATTATTTTAGTAACCGCTTGAACGGCGACGCGATGTTTACAGTGAGAACAGCTGTGAGGTCCGTGCAGAAAGCAGAGCAGTGTGTAAAATATATATCACTCAGTATAACAGGCCCACATTACTCTCTGTATTTGTATGCTGTAGTTTAGTAGATATCTACAAACAAAGAGTCGATATTTTTCTAAGACCATTTAGTGCTTCACATAATAAAATACACAACGGCTGTAGCCTGATTATGCTTTAGGAGCTGTAGGTGTGTGTGGTACAGTGTGTAGGTGTGTGTGTGGTGTGTGTGTGTGTGGTACAGTGTGTGTGTGTGTGTGTGTGTGTGTGGTACAGTGTGTGTGTGTTGTACAATGCGTAGATGCGGCGGACAGACGGGTCTCAGTTGGTTTGGTGTCCTATGCTTACTTTAAATACTTGTAAATACAACTTTTGGCCCGTAATTTAAATTCCCCATTTCAGCGACCAGAGAGAGGGGGGGGACTGTAAAAACAAAAAAATTAACGTAATGCTTTAGTCTTGAAATAGGTGTATAAGATTAAAAGGGCCTGT